TAATAATAATAATAATAATAATAATAATAATAATAATAATAATAATAATAATAATAATAATAATAATAATAATAAACCTCAATTTTAGTAGATTTTATCGTCATTCTTTGAAGCTTATGTCTAAAATGAAGTAATTTTTCAGAGGGAGTTTCTGCAGCAAATGACGGTTTATTAGCATGAATAAATAAAACAGATGGGATACACCTAGTGGTACTTAATAAACAAGTTGACTTACTAAATTGGCGCGATTTCGTCGATCTATGTTGACTTTCCGATTCTAATTTGTTTACTTTTCTGTCAAAACCTGCATCATCGTTTATTTGCTTATTCTCAACAACACCTGTAATTGGTGATCCATCATCAAACTTGCCTGGAGATTTTGATCCTTCGCTTCTAGATGTGCCCCTATCTTTCTTTGAATTCTGACGACGTTCCTGCTAATAGTGGATATGTATAATCCAGATAAAGTTAGGCGCAATAAATAAGCTTATATTCGCTAAAATTGACTTTTAAAGACATAAACCTTCTTTTTGGTATCCACTTCAGCCCTAGGTTCATCTACATCCATTTGTTCTGCTTCATCATCAGTATATGATAAGGATACAGAACTTCTTTTGCGCTTTGAAAGTTTATCTTCAGTTGCTCTATGTTTCTTTACGCCTTTTCCACTACGGCTTCCTACTTCTTCTTCTGAAGAATAATCGCGAGCCTTTCTCTTTGGTTTTGTGCTCCTTGAAGCTTTTGTTTGGCGCTCTGCAGTCTTTGAAACTGTATATCCTTTATCTTTTTTGGTTCCTTTGCTACGAACTTTTGATTTTTTATCATATTCACCATCATCATTTTCTAAAGACTCGGTAGATTTCTTACTCTCATCTTCCAATTCAACCTCGTCATCATCTGTTGCTGCTTCTTCAACATCTTCCTCCATTGGATCATCAAAAGATGATGGGTTTAGAGCTTCTCGAATAGATTTCTTTAGCAAGTCATCCCGTCTTTTATTTTGCATTTTTTGTAATAATATTTCAGCCTCCTTCTTTTCAAACGGTTTAAGGTCATTATTTCCAAACCAACCACTAAATAAATAATAAATTTAATAACAGTACTCAACATTAAAATTTTATTGAATCTGAAAATATGGTTATAATTATATCATAAATATTCTCTCTTGACATATATATTTTTCTAGTAATAACACTGCAAACGTAAGAAAAGGTAAGACAAAAACATACTAGTCACCAGTTCCAAAAAATCTCACACCGCATATTGGTTTCGGTCCTTTTGGTTTTTTTGAAAGAACGTTCGAGGGTAGAGTAGATTCAATTTCGACCTGAGACCCAGTACAAATCAAAAAGATTCAAGTTTCACACATAACCACAAAAATTTAAACAGTAATCCTTTTAGACTGTAAGCAATTCGGAATGTAAAATGAGCATGTCACATGAATAGCTTACTCGTGCCGGCCACCAAGGATATCCCTTGAGTTTGGCATAAACTATATTTCCGGGAGCGTACGACATTATGGATCGCTCTATACTTATCGAATTTATTGAAATTCAAAAAGTCGATCCTAACAAAGGTTGGCGTTATTTCCTAGAGCTGTTCCTTTAATGGATTATTTCTCGAGTCTAAAGAAAATTATTGACAACCAAAACAAAGGAAGTACAGTAAACACTCCATCTTTTGACTTTTATTTACCTTCTACTTACTGTTTTCAGAGACTTCTTCAGTTTGAATACTGAACGCAAAAGGGAGTCTATCAAAAAGAAGAAAAGGCT